CCACCAATAATTTAACTGACATAACAATAATTCAAATACATAAAACGTAGTATTGTACTGCGAATTCCTTAAAAAAATTCTACACCCCAAGCTCGGACTTGCCTTATTTATAGGCGTTTCAATTTTATGAAAATTCATTCAATACTTAACTTCAAACTTACGTTCATACTTCTCTCTTCTTCTTATCAATCATTTTTTTACAATGTCTGAAGTGCCAAAAATAAGGGTTTCACTATATTGGGGGGGGGGGTGAGGTTGTGCTGGAGAATAACTCTGTGAGGTATAGCTCACCTCCATAGTGTCATGTTAAATTGCCGCTTACTATGGAGTACGATACATTGGTATCGCTGTTACGTAAAAAATGAGTGAGAGGAGGCGTTCGGTTAACCTTAAAGTAACCGATAGATTTTCGTATTCAGTGACTCCGCAGGGGTTTGCTTATTATTCTGAATTTAGCATCGAGGATGATGAAACTCTTAGAGATTTTTTGCGGATTCCGGATGAATACAGGGAATTTATTGTAATAAAATTATTGAAAATGTACGTCAAGGTGGAAGACGTTCCCAGTAATAAGGGCGTGCATAGCAGGGATAACCCCCAGTCATCGGGTGGTTATTCTGGAGCAGTTTTTGCCGGACAGATTGCTGATGAAAGAGCTTGCCTTGATTTAAACTTGTCACCACCGGCGAATGAGCAGCCACAAAATAATTTTTCGACTTTATATAATCAACAAGACGACTGGTAAACTTCAATTTTACTACGCTTTAGCGATGTTTATTTTATGTTTTAATTGGATTTGTATTAGCACTCATATTTTTCACATGGGGTACCGTCCGGATATGAGTTTTACAAGTTATGACCCCGCCCCTAGTTGGAATATGCGTAGTTCTGGAGTATTGGACCACGGTGGTCCATCCGGGAGTCATCACCAACAAGAAAATATCCATCATGAAACGTCAAGACAGTACGATTTGTAAGTAAAGTGATATAGCTATATCTAAAGTATTTTTCCGGAGTTTTGGGTAACTTATCTTTTTGTTCTTTTTGTGCAGTGAAAACAATCTTCTTGAAGCTCCTGACCTCACACAGTTGCCCATAGACGACGTATTTACTCGTGATTTGGCAGATGCGCAGAGTCAGGAAGATGATAGTGATTATGACAACAATGCGGATGAGTCTGGGGATGACACACCCTTCCATGATGAGGGTGATGATGAGGGTGATGATGAGGAGGAGGAAGTGAATGTTGAACCTGAGCTGACGAGGGAGCATGTTCCTCCACCTCCCGCTAGACCAAGAGTGTACGAGTCCCACGTGCCATTTCATGAGCGGAATATTCCCTACCTTGATAATTTGCCAAGCATGCCGAACGTGGATGCCCTCACAAGGGATGATGATGAATTTCGGTCAGCGATGTGGGATGAGTCTAGACCAGCTGTTCTGACAAAGGGCATGTATTTCCCCGATAAAGCTCGCCTAATTAGGGCTGTAAAAATCTATAGTATAAGAGAGTGTCGTGAGATGACGGTAAGTGAGTCAACTACGGAGAAATACAAGGCTTATGCCGTAGGTGGTTTATGGGTTGTCACTGGATGTTGCGTGCCACCAAGAAGAAATCAGGTTTGTGGAAAGTGGGTAAATTTATTAGCGAGCACAGATGTGAAATGGACACATACAATGAGAATCACTTCAACTTGGATGTGGACTTGATTTCTCTTGTCTTGATTCCATATTTGGAAGTGTCCATTAGGTTCAAGATTAAAGAGTGTATTACAGTCGTCCACCAGGAGTATGGTTGTACTATAACCAAAAGAAAGGCATATCTCGGTCGCAAACGTGCCTTTGAACTTATTTATGGCGACTGGGATAAGTCTTTTTCAAATCTGCCCAGGTACATGGCCGCACTGCAACACTTTAACCCCGGGACTGTTGTTGAATGGAGGCGTGAGCGGAGTCCGGACAGACCGGAATATATTTACAACTATGTGTTCTGGTCATTTAAACCAACAATTGATGGTTTTATGCATTGTCGTCCTGTAATTTCCATAGACAGTACTTATGTCTATGGAAAGTATGATATTAAGCTTTTGATTGCAGTTGCAGTAAATGCCAACGGACAAATATTTTCACTAGCTTTTGCCATTTGTGCCAACGAAAGCGAAGAGACGTGGACGCATTTTTTGAACCACTTGAAGCAGCACGTTGTCAAACAGCATTCAGGTATTTGTCTAATATCTGATCGGCATGGTGGTATTTTAAGTTCTGTACGTCACTTGCCTAAATGGCATGAACCATATGCATACCATCGTTACTGTGTGAGGCACCTGAAGGCCAATTTCCAGAAAAAAATTTCCTGACAAGGCCTTGCATAACTTAATGTGGATGGCTGCAACTGAGCACCAGCAGTGCAAATTCACGAGGCGCATGGAAGCGATCCGGCAGATAGATCCACAAGCCTATACTTGGTTGATGCGACATGAGCTTCACATGTGGACATTGCATGCTGATGGCAGCAGACGATGGGGACCCCTCACTACAAACGTGTCGGAGTCATTCAACGGCTTGTTGAAGTCTGCCCCTGGACTGCCTGTCACTGCCATGGTCCGCATGACATTCAAACAGAGTGCGGAGAGGTTTGTTGAAAGGCATGCAGCTGCATCGGCATTGATGGACACGGGTGTTGAATTTATGCCAATACCCATGAGAAGATTTGAAAGGTCCAGGAGGCGAGCATAGTGGCATTCATTTCTTCATTACGATCATGAACGGGGTATTTTTGAAGTTAAGACCGCTATCCGCGGACACCATGGGAATAATCTACAGACGGTGAATGAAAATAGAAGGTTATGTTCATATGGGAAATAGACCATCTACCACATGCCGTGCGCACATGCATTGAAGTGCATTCAACAAGTTGGATATGGGGCAACAAACTATATTGATAGGCAATACAGTATTGCTGCATACGTAGACACGTATAGTGGGAAGTTGCATCCATTAGGTGCTGAGCATTATTGGCCGCCGGAACCTTTTAAGATGGTATGTAGCAAGGACTATTTGTGCAAGCTGCAAGTGCAAAAGAGAACGCGTATACGGAACCAAATGGATGTTGGTGACACCGTTTACGCGCGTAAATGTGGCATATGCTTGCAAACAAGACACGACCGTCGTAAATGTTCTTCAGGTGGTGTGCGTGGCGGTGGTAATCCGGCTCCTGGTGCAAGTTCGTCGAATATACCGAACTATCAAGGATACCCCTAGTCTTTTATTTTGGTATTGTTTTTTGTAATACGTGTTTGTACTTGTGTATGTTGCAATATATATCAAATAAAATTATGTTCGACAATCTGGAATGAGTGAAGAAAAAGCTGTTTAATTGCTGGAAAATGTAATATGTAAAGCGTGGTTTGATAGTTTCATATAACAACACAAGCACTTAAACTTAACTTACACTTCAATTAAAATAAAATTTAGTACAACAAACAAGGAAAACATTACTACAGCACAAACACAAACGTAGCAGGCCAACATAATAAAAATACATGAAATATGAAAATACACTAAACACATACATGCCAATGTTTAGTCCCGGTTGCCATTTACTCTCCGCTCCAACCACTTAAATCGTTCTTCCAGTTGTTCTTTTTCTTCTTCTACCTCTTTCAGTTTCGCCTTCACCTCCGCAAGTTCCCGTTTATATTTTTTTTTACGTTCATTTTGTGCTTCACAATTCCATTGTGCTTTCCATTTTTCTTCTCCCACCTCCTTCAGTTTCGCCCTCATTTCTGCAATAATTCTATTGCTTTCGCTTTGTGTTTCCTGTTGGCGTAAACACATATTATGAAGAAACTGCAGTTTTTCTTTGTAGTATTCCTGATAACATGGTTCATCAACCCATTCCTCAAACTCACAAATAGGTTCGCCGGGAACCTTGTAAAACTGGTTCATACAGTGCCAGTAGCGGCGTCCAGCTTCACCACCGTCCCAACAACTTTGCATCATGCATAATTTTCCACAGTAGCACTGTGGTGGATGAAGAGATTGAGCCATATAATGAAATATTTACTTTTAGTAAAAAAACCTTACTTTTAATGAAATATCTGCTTTTAGTAAATTTTGAGCAACCAAAATAACTACAATGAGCCCGTTATTTATAGGCGAGACAAAATAATTAATTCGCAGTATAGTACTGCGTTTTGTGAAGTTGTCTTGTCGTTCTGAAAAAGATGAAAACCATGTGAAAAAAGCTGTTGTCTTGCAGAAAAATTTAATAATTAATTCGCAGTATAGTACTGCGTTTTATGGAGTTGTCTTGTCGTTCTGAAAAAGATGAAAACCACGTGAAAAAAGCTGCTCTCTTGCACAAAACTTTAATAATTAATTCGCAGTATAGTACTGCGTTTTATAGAGTTGTCTTGTCGTTTTGAAAAAGATAAAAACCATGTGAAAAAAGCTGCTCTCTTGCAGAAAACTTTAATAATTAATTCGCAGTATAGTACTGCATTTTATGGAGTTGTCTTGTCGTTAAAAATGTAATAATTAATTCGCAGTATAGTACTACGTTTTATGGAGTTGTCTTCTCATTCTGAAAAAGATGAAACCCATGTGAAAAAAGTTGATTTCTTGCAGAAAAATGTAATAATTAATTCGCAGTATAGTACTACGTTTTTTGGAGTTGTCTTGTCGTTCTGAAAAAGATGAAATCCATGTCAACAAAACTGCTTTCTTTATGTTTCCTTTTAGTTCTACTATTTGTTTTTGTGTTAGGTTTGCAAGTTTTGTGTTTGTGTTGTACTGTTTAAGTTAAATTGTTGTTCAAACGCAATTAAAATAAAATTGTTGTTAAAAGATAATTGTTACCATTATTTACATAATGCACTATTTACACAAAGTAAAAACACAATTAAATCAGTGAGTCCCGCAACCTGTGTGCTTCAGTGCAGCTGCCAGCCTAAGTCGCATCCCCTGTCGCCCGGGTACACTATCTGGATCATCATCATCAAGCCGCCTCTTTATGTGAGGATGTGCAGCAGCATCGACACCACAGCTGGCAGGATCGGAAGAATAGGCCGTCGGGCCGTCAGCAACCTACAAAATAAGTAGTAATCTTACCATGTGAAAAAGTATATTTGTATTGTACGTGTTGAGTCAAAAACATTTTCTCACCGTGGTCTCGTCCGCCGCCTGAGTATATGCATCCGTGGTGTCCTCATCAAAGCATGTAGTGGCCTCGAAGATGGGCTGGGACGAAACCTTCATAAGAAAGTTAAAAATTAATTAATGTCAGCTCATTAAGGAAAAGAAAACAAATTGAAATTTTAAAGTAATACAAACATACCTGCGCCTGTGGTAGATCCGCATCAACCGCTGGGGATGAGGCATAACTCAACCTGCGCCCGCCATCCACGTCCCGGGTGGGCCGATCCTCAGCTGCGGTAGATGGGCATGAAAAGTACTGGTCTACATCCCCGTCGAATGTAGCCGTGATCGACAATGCTCCTGACGGGGTGACCTACGATGCTGGAAGAGATAGCTGAAGGTTGTACGACGGCGTACTGCTAGACGGCTCATCTACCTGAGGTCCATAACCCGGCTGATCATCTCCAAGAGCCTCATCTCCAAAATCCCCATCATGTCCATCCACAGGTGGGCCAACAAGTGCCTCATAGCCCCTTGCTGGGGACCACCTCCTCGCCGTCCCCCACGACCCCCACGACCCCGTGGGGCACCCCTCCCTCGTGCCCTACCCCTGCCTCGTGGGACACCCCTACCCCGATGGTAGTCCTCTGGCGCCGCATACTGAGCCTCGGGTCCAACCTCGCGGTATCTCTCGCCTGAAGCAGGGTCCGACGAGCCACCTATTTCACCCGCCGGCCATAGTCAACGAGTGCAGGATTGTCGGCATGCTGCTGCATCTCCTGTCCCATCTGGCAGAGGTGATGATGCCCAATAGCCTGTGAAACATTTAAAATATTAATTAAATAACGCTATATCACAATTATAAAATATTAATAAGCCACAACAACATACCAGTGCCTCGTGCCTCCCGGCGTATGGTCTGTGGCGATCGCTAAGCACATGAATGGGGTTCCCGATCATCAGTCGGGTGTGATGGCGGTACCATGACGTATACAGATGAATAGTGGCCTCCTGGGTAAATGTAGGTGGTGGCGGAATACGGTGACCTCGCTCCTCCCAAGTATGGACCTGCTGCTCTAGCCATCCCATATATATAACGTCCACCCTGGCACGGTCGTCCCGCTGATAGTGTGTAGCCTCCCATCCAGGATCCCCCGGTATAGGCTGGGGACGGTGAAACTGGCGAAGCACACGCTCTGTGGCATGATACTCAACCATATCGAAGAAGATCATCGGGACCGAGGTGCTCCAAGCAGTCTGTCGACTGAGCAAATATCGGGCAGTTGAGCTAGCAACTCGTCGCTGTATGGCGTCCAGATGAACTACCAAATAATAACATAAAAGTGAGTATGCGCAACACAACTCAATTACTAATTCGCAAGTGTAGGTACATATTTACATGTCCGTCCACCAGCATATCTAACACATCCCTGACAAGGGGGAGATTATGATGAGCATCGCTCCCTCGGTAATTCCCACGCCGGAGAATCCACCTAGAAGCTAGAGGGAGAAATGGATAAGCCTCACCGGGCGCAAGTGGTGGTAGAGGTGGCTGCAACGGCATGATCCGCTGCCAGGCCCAAACCTAAGATAAAAGGTTGATGTAAAATTTATGAGTCATTTCGACCATATAGAATTCAGAGTAATGAACAGAGTATTCGAAAATGTTGTCACCTGTAGGAGGGGCAGAAAACCACATATGTCCACTGCTGGGCCCATGCTCGCCCGGCACATGCTCCTATACAGGTATGCGAGAACAGCAGCACCCCAGCTGTACTGAGGTAAATCATCCAGCCGCTGAAGATGATGGAGATAGCGCATACTCACAGTACTCCACGAAGTGTTCGTGAACAAGACACACCCGAAAAGCAGGAGCAGCGCCAACGGCATGTACCTCTCAATGTGGAGATCCTCCGTCTCGCCGGTAATGTCAGGGTGCAAAACAGCCATATGATCTCTAATGGCTGACAAAAGAACGCGACTGCCCCCAGCGCCACCCTTAGGTCTATAACCAGTAAACTGCCCCATCATATCCAAAAACTGGGCACGCGTCATGGATCTAATGTACTGGGGCAGTGCCACGGCCCGTCCATCTACGCGTAGCCCGTTTAAAACCTGAACATCCTCCAGCGTGATGGTGGCCTCTCCAGTGGGCAAGTGAAAAGTGTGCGTCTCCGGTCGCCACCGCTCTACCAACGCCGTGATAAGAGACCAATCAAGCTGCATCCGTCCAAGCTCAAAAATAGTATAGAAGCCCGTAGCCTGTAGGCGCGCGACTACGCGGGCATGGAAAGGATGCTGCACGATGAACTCCCACAAATCATCAGGTCTCCTAGGGCGGAGAGCCTGCTCCGATAGCTGTCCCTCCCATACATAGGAGGACCTATGGTCGCCCTGCAACACTAACAACTGATCCTCGGCAGGTCCAGGATGCGCAGGCGGAGGAAAGGTCATGTTGTCTACTATAATTTAAACAAAATTAATTGTGTGTGTTAGTTTAATAAATTAAATAATTATTTTTAATATTGGACTGAGTAATTAGCTTAATAAATTAAATAATTAATTATGTTTAGTATTGGACTGAATAATTATGTATGGGTTCCAGACTTGA